AATAGCTGGGTGTAATAACTGCACTGACCTAATTCCTCTTTAAAAAAAAAAAAAAACTATAAGAGAAAAGACACCTTACCTCAACAGGACACCAATTTGACAAAACCTGATGGTTAACTATTGTAACAAAGGAAGATGAAATCTACACTGCTACTGTATTCTTAATAACATGTAATTACAGATATTAAGCAGCTTTTGAATGAAATAAACAGCACTTAGCTTACACAGGGCTAACCTCATTTATTGTGTTGTATAGGGCGTGCTGTGCTTTGCAAAATCTCTCTGCAGCCATTCACAAATAACAAGCAGTATTTTCTCAAGTATTTATTTTGGAAAACAGACTACTTTTCTGGTTTAACATGCCCCATATTGGATCATCTCTGCACAAAATTGATTATGATTTAATGCAATAATTCATTCTGCCTGAATGATTGTATAAGAGGAATTTCTCATCAAGCACTAATACGTGAGTGATATGTTTGTTACCCAGCAACCAGAATCAATCAAACCATTAGACAATGACACACCTTTGCTCAGGAGCTCAGGCAGAGCCAAGTCTCAGCTGGCAGAGGTCCATGAGGTGAAAAGTGATTGACAGATTGTACAATGGAAACAGACGCCGTGACAGCAGCGGTTTGCTCACAACAGCCCTGACAGCTTCAAACCACATATATTTAGCACACAGCACATTCGAGAATTTGTCCTTAAAATGCATTCTTCTTGTTCCACTTTACAGTTTAATGGTCCTATATTACACAAAATAGATTAGTGTGTTTAAGCCATGTTTGAATGTTATTCCCTCATCAAAAACATGTTTTGTTGTGTTTTGTTTCATTTACCCATGTTTCGATAACCCTTTATTATTATCTGGCTACATCTTCAAACCCCAAAATGCTTAGTTCCACCTTGTGATGTCATGAAGTGACATGACAAGTTAAATTTAGTTCAGTAGAGATTGGCAAGTCCAGGGTTGAAATCATCCAAATGATTCTATATATGTATATGTGTATGGAGTTTAAAAACACAAACACAAAAACCCTGCATTACCACATGACATCACAAGGTGGAAGGTGGAGTGTTTCTGTTTAAGAAAAGAACACAGCCTAAATATGCTAAATATGTAGGGATTGTGTGTTAAACATGTGTGAATGAAACAAAACACAACTCTGAGTAAGTTTGTAATGAGGAAACAACATTATAACAGATCAGAAAATGTCTTAATATGAGCCCTTTAAACAGACCCAGGAAGGCCACAACAGACAGTAGCTTTAAGCATTTCCACGTCAAGTCAAGTCACAACAAACGTACAATTAAAGGAATTAGCTACATCATATTTAATAAAGGGTTTGAGGAAGATTAGATTAGTTCACAATGTCAACACTGCAAATGTATGCTTGAGGTCATTTACAGTTTTAAAGTGGCACTATGTAACTTCTTTGGTTGAGAGTTCGAAACCTAAGTCTCCATGGAGATGTTTTGCCCAGAATGTTCCACAATATTGCATAACTCCACCCCACCTATGATTTTCTGGCAATAAATGCACCTGTAATTGAGTAACTAAAAGATCAAAGTTATTTCATGGAACATTCCAGACAAAGCAGGAACAAGCAGGTGATGGACCTTCCAACAAAAACTACACAGTTCAGGGATTAAACAATTGTATTATAATGTAGATATGTGCTATTTGGTTCAAATTTCATTTCAATAAATGCCTGTCTTTCAATAAATGCTTGTCTTAGTCATGATACTAAGAATTCAAATACTAAGACTAAGACTCAATTCAGATTTGGATAGTACAAGGATGAACACAAACCAATAACACTTACTTTGCTATGTGGTCTTATAATAGTTCTGATAAAGCTTAAGATCTTAAAACTGTCCAGGAAAGGTCTGTTAAAATGCTTTTGCTTGCTTTTTAAAATACTTGCTTAAATTAAAATCTAGTTTCAATGGCTTTAGTATCCAGATTTAGGTACTAAACTAGTCAAAGGGATCAAATCACAATTTTATTTTTATCGTCATATCAACCAGGTCAAGTGCACATCAGTTGACAAAAAGAAGCACAGATTTGTTCCACATCTGAGACACACCTGCACTGTGGACCCCCAGCTCTTTCCCAGGGGGCCACAGAGATAAATGAGCTCATGTCAGACACAAGGCCTGACAGCGATAATGATGAATTACACATATATTAGTACACAGCCCGGGGACACACTCAAACCAAGCAGGCTTACACACCCACACAGGAACACACACATTCAAAAATGCACAATTCTTCTTACGACTTTAAGAGCAAACTTGACACCGCTAAGGCCTGAGTCAGCTGGGGTCCTAGCATACACATGTGATGACAGGTATTTCCACTTGAGGAGAGCCACAATGCTGAGCTGTGAGCCTGGTGTCAACCACTTCCTGTCTGCAGAGGTGAAAGGTTAAACACCCTTCAGTCTCCTTAAAGCTTACAATTGAAAAGAATGAACAGAAAGCAAAGGGATATGTGTGAGACAAGCGTTTTTCAATGTCTTCACTGATGTTTCAAAACCTAGAAAAAATATATATATAGAGAGATACTATTAGAATACTACACTATTCTTATCTCAAGAATTGGAAGGGGCTCTCCCTAAATGATGTGGTCATTTCCCATGTATTTAAAGGTGAGGTACCTGATTTTCAAACCATTAAAAAGGCTGTGTATTTAAATCTGTCTAACTAGTTCAAGCATGATTTTTGGGCAGACAAACAGCTTTTTTTCAGACACAAGATAAAAACACAGCTAATTATACTTTCATACTAGTTTGCAATTAATAAAATGTTTTACAATTACTACACATCAGTCTCATTTTGTCACACATTTTACAATACACTTGATATATGTGTGCTATTAAATGTATTTCTTTACAAGAGAAAAGTTGCAGCATTTAGCTTTAGTATGGAAGGCTGTGGGTTTTACCATCAGCTAAATGTTATGCTAGTCCTGGATGACAAAATATGTTAGCATCAGGAAATGAGCAATTCCCCTGTAATAATTGTGCAATTCCAGTATGCACAATTAATATTCGTGCATATTCTGGGTCCACAAATAACAGCCAGTAGATTTATCTGAAATGTCTGAACTGGCAAAGCCCATGATACTAGTGATACTTTATTCATTCAGTTATATATTTTGGACACTCCCCTATATTGTCATTCTATCTGGTAACACTACAGTAATAGATTAGGGCAGTGTGAATAAAGCGTCTCCTTTCACAAAGCATTGGTCCAGGTGTGGGAGATGTGCTCCCATTGGCTGAGCTGTCCATCAGCAGGACTCCATGTTAATCCTTTGTCATCACTCAACTGGCCCTGTGCCTAATCTCCAGCAGGCCCAGAGCTCCACACAAGGGTGCTCACAGCTTTAAAGTGAAAGTCTGACAGTTAATCTGAGGCACAACACACGAGGTAACCCTATGCTCTCTCTAGGGAGCAGCCACTATACACAGGAGCCATGGTGATGAGAGAAAGACCTCCCAAAAGTCTAAGATGTTTCACTAAAGATGCTATGACAAAGTTTTGACTGAGAAAAGTGAGGTTTAAGAATGAGGACAAGCCGACTTATATATGTCAACAGAAAGTGTAGTATGGCTTAGAACGGGGTGTGAAACTCAAATTCACAGACGGCCAAAATTTAAAACTGGGACGTGGTCATGGGTCAAACTAAATATTTATTGAAAATTTTCAACAACATCTGCATGTTTTCCTCTTCTTTCGAGAAATGCAATGTTAAACCTTCTCTCATTAAAATAAATATTTAATAATAGTTTTAATTAAAGATTGAATCCAGAACAAGCTAAATATAAAATAATAACAACATTTTAAATAAATAATGTCTCTATAGCCTATTTGTAGCCGGCGGACCAGCTCTAATACATATTTGATAAAATCTCATGGGTCAAATATAATAATATTGCGGGCCAAATTTGGGCCCTGGGCCTGAGTTTGACATGTCTGGCTTAGAAGAAATAGTGAAGTACTTTGCTGGTTTGAATGACGAGGCAGGTTTTCCTGTATAAAAACATTATTTAAAGTAAAATACTTTAAATAATGGAGATGTTAGTTTTGATTTGTCAAGTTACAAGTCAGAACTGTAGAGAGGCGAACTCGCTCACAGTAAGAATGCTTTTCCATTTATTTTTGAACAATGAAACCAACTGGACATTAATAAATGCAAGATAGTCGATAGAATAGGCCAGCAGATTTGCACTCGTCCTTCAGTCTCCAACACATTTTATTTTGGCCAACCAGGCATTTTTTAGCAAGCTTAATTTGAACAATTGACATTTGAAGTTTGGCTACACTGCTTTCTTATCCAGTTTGTAGTAACAACATGAGTTTGTAATAAATCAAAATTATACATTTTGGGGGAAAAAAATAAATCAAAATTGGCCCTAGATATCGGCCAAAAAAGCTGATTGGTCATTGTTTTTTCTGTATTCTAAACAATCAGTATCGGCATCTGCCATGAAAAAAATATGATCATGACAGATAACAATAACTTGGAACATTTCAGGCAGCAGTAACATTTCCATGGAGACAGGTGCCGTACAGTACCTTCCGCCAGAAAAGTTACATAGTGCACCTTTAACATCCCATATCCAGGAATTTCATCAAGCTAATCCATGGCACCTAACAGGAGGCAGCCTGCTGTACAATGCTTTCAAAATGGGGAATGCCAGTTAAGGAGCATACAATAAGTCAGTTGAGGTTGTTAGCTAGACTGGAGCTGATAAGTGTATGGTTCAAGGCACAATGACCGGTAATCAGATACAACCACAGAAAAAGCGCTACATTCAAGCTAAGGTCAGGTACTTGGAGCAGGAAGTATTAGTGAAGTAAGACCGCGTATGGAAACATTCATCATTTATTATTCGTGTGTTTGGGTAATTTTCAGTTAGTAATTGTTCCTTTGTTGAACACCATGGCATAGGAAGTGAAAAGCAGGTACAAAAATATCCCAGACTTACCACTTCAGCAGGACGGAAGAATTTGGGGTCTACTTTCACATGCACCACTCCGGTCTCCTGGCAACGACCCACCTCCTGCTCATCTTTGCCCTCCCACCTGTGATGATAAAACAAAAATGATGTTGTTCCTTCACCTCCTCAGGAAGACAAAACATGTCAAATGCCATTTTCAGTCTGGACATAGGCCCTGACCAACATGTCAGAATAATACAATGTAAAGAGGATGAGTCAAAGGAATGGTACCACAATATAGTATGACATGAATCTGTTGATGTTGGGCCTCTAAGGTTGTGTGTGGGGAAAAGATGGTCTTGGGTTTAAAATGTATTTAAAGAGAAACTGGGCTGATATTCTGTATTACTGAATTATTGTATTACTGTATTTCTATATTGTATTTTACTTGTATGTATACAATAATTATGCCTTATTTAACACGAGTGCAATTTTTGCTACTTATTTTCAATTTATTATTCTTGGTTATTATATTATCTTATTATTATTATTATTATTATTATTATGTTATTATCATGGTAATTATAATATAAGTGATGTGTGAAATAATGTCTCCAATTACTTCCCTTGTGGCTCAATAAAATTTGTCTAAGTCTACGTGTATATTTCATAAAACTGTAATTTTCAGAAACATTGTTGGGGTGAAGTTAATGCATTTATTTACATAGTATTGAACATACATTGTTCATTTTCCAAATATTTCCAGCATATACAATATAGTGTTTCAAATACTGCTGATAACTTTTAATAGCTAGCAACAATAATATCACTTTATATTAGACTTTCGCAACAGGAAAAGACACACATGGAATCTAGCAGTAGACAGTAGAGCCCTATAATGAATCCCAGGCCCGCTAATCTAAAATGTTTGCAATCAGTATGAAACATGAACATGCCATTTCAAATTTAGCTGTAACACTGATTAAAATGATTAATAATGATTTATATTCCATCAAAGTGTATTTAGCAATGCGTTTTTGACAAATAACGTCACACAGAGCAGTTCTTGTGACGCTGGTTCTTTTAATCTAAGAACTGAAAGCTCAAAAATCAGCTAAACCTGATTGAATACTGATAATTTGGGGAGCTATTGCATGTTTTCTTTAGAGTTTATATTTGTTTACATTAGCAACTGGTGGCAGGTGGCAAAAAATGGTTTATATGTGTCAAATTTGTATTACTGACTTCAACAAAAAAGCTCAATTTTGGTTGGATTAAAAAGTAGTAGCATTTGTAGTTTGAGCAAACAAAAATATAATAAATATATATTTTATATATAATATATATAAAAAAACAGCTAAAAAATAGCTTCTGTTGAACAAAATTCTGCACAAATCTTTATTAAAATCAATACATTTGAAGACTTTAAAGTCTGTGTGAAATACTTTTACTTTTTACTTCTTAAATACATTTTTAAACAGGCACTTCAATGATTTTACTGAAGTAGATTTTTTCAGGTGATGCTTTTACTTTCACTTGAGAATTTTTCTGCTCCGATACCTGTACTTTTTACTTGAGTAACAGAATTGAGTACTTTTTCCACCTCTAATTTTGTATGTGTCTGAACTTACACAATTGTCTTCCCCACATGTGAGAAGGCCCGCTCCACAAACTCCCTGACGCTGTGCACCTCCCCTGTGGAAATGACGAGGTCCTCCGGCTCCTCCTGCTGCAGCATGAGCCACATGGCCTGAAACACACGGAGACAGAGGGGTCAAAAGTGCTGACACATCATAAAGACACTGCCCAACTCTGCCCTGACAGACAGGAAGTGAACTCGCAACCTCTCCGCCTGTACCTCTGTCCTGACGTCACTACAACGCCCCCATGGGACCCATACTGTGGGAAAGGAGAACAGAGGAGTCCCAGAGGCCAACTGCGCTGCTGGCACACATCAAAATACACACAACCAGAAAAGCTCACGCATGACTGACAATACCATGCTCAGGACTATATTTAAAAGTAGCCTCATATCACTAGAGCAGAATTATGTTTGACTCCTCCACAGTTATTCTTAGCTCTGTGGCCCCAGTGAAAGCTGATAGTCCATTAATGGCTCAGCACTATATTCACCAGCCAACAAGGGCGTCTGTGTGTGGGTCAATATTTATGGTGAACTGCCGCTTTGGGGTCAATGCCGCTGACCTTTGGCTCGTCCAGTCTGAGCAGAGGAGACGCAGCAGGGAAGTAGCACATACGCACACAATGACAGGGGAAGTTTATGGAAAAGAAACTGTTTAAGGCTACACAAAGACATTAGCTTAATCTCACAATGCTATTTAATTTGAGCCATATAGTCTGCTTTGTGAATTATTCAACCCATAACTCAAAACTGAATAGGATCCTGTAGAACATTCCTAGATTTAAATAGTGTTTTGAAAGCAGCCCTGAAAAGACAAAAAAGTGGAAAAGTCCCTCAAAACATTTACAAATCTTTAACAATCTTGGACGACATAAGAGTTAAAAAGTTGAATCCTTCACTGTGTATGATGTATGTGTCAAATACAATAAGACTTCTTCTGTGCTGGGATATAGCAGTCACTTATCGACGTATAGACACAAAGTGATTGAATGACGGTCTGTGGGGAGCAGAGGCCGTCCTATCCCAGGATCGTTCAGGGTCACCTGACTGCTCACTGTTGACGGTTCCCCTGAGCCTGACCTGTGACCTTTCACCCCTGATGAACAAAACAGATTCTCACACTACAAGACTAAATGGCACCTCTGTGCGTGAGTGACAGTGGAGGAAACCAATCGAGGGAAGTATGTTCACAATCTGTGTTTTCAATTGTTTCCACACTTAATGCTTGTTAGACTGACAGGGGAAGCTAAATAGCTGCAGAATAGCACATTTGTCATGCTGTCAATCCAGATAAACTTTACAAAGTACTGAATTAACAACTACTAACAAAGTTAAAGTACAATTTCCATACTAAGCATTGTGCTCTAATGTATTAGACAACATTACACAACATGGTAAAATTACTTGAAAGTGTATCAATGAGCAAATATATCCATTAAAAAGACCAAAAGATTTTAACACCTGCAAATAACTTCCACAAACTTCAGTTTAGAAGGTTTTGTTTGTTGGTTGTTACATAACTAACAACCCATTGAAATGTCTAATAAACAATGGGTGCCCCATTATTTGGATAATTTATTTCAAAATAATTCTCTGTTTTATATGTTAACAGGATTAATTATCAGTGGAATCCCTGAAATATCAAACACAATACGTTGGCGGTGACTGTGTTTTGGAGATGTGACTGGGTGATTATTTGCACTTGTAATGAGCAGCTTGTTCCCGGTGTTTCTTATCCTGATGAATGTGGAGCCGCTAGTGCACTGGATGGCTGTGATGACGGGAATGGGGAACATTGGACCGCTTCTCTTGTAGCCAGAGAAAATGTTTATGGCAGCAGCTGAGTGATATGGCCTTTGCTAATGTTTAACACAGAAATGTGATAAATAATATGAGATGTATTTTTCATCTTATTGTAGTAGCTTGGGGAGAGTGGCTGCTGGCTTCAATTTTGTGTTTCCATAATAAATGTGAAGTTATATTTGAGTTATATTGTAGTGTTTGGAACTGTAAACCCACAACAATATGCAGTGAACGAAAATGGCAGCATTCATGTTAAGCATTTTGGTGGCACAGTGGCTAGTGCAAGGCACCTCACAGCAAGAAGGTCCTGAGTTCAGTTCTCTGACTGGACATGGCTCTTTGTGGAGTTCTCTACATGTCTGCATAGATTTACACTAGCTGCTCTGTGTTTGTATTATGACAAAAAAGCATTTTGGTTTCACTTTCTGCATACAGTAGTGTTGTTTTAAACTTGATTTAGATACTGTGACCAAATATTTTATCAAGATTTTGATGATAGATTTTTATTTTATTTTTTAAATCACAACGACATGTCCAATTTATGCATTCATTTCAGTATTGATACTTATTCAAATTAGTTTGTTTTTATTTTCTGTATCAGTTAGTATCTGGGAAAAGATTTTTTTTTAAAAACAATCCTACCATTCGGTCACATCATATATAACCACTTCTGCTTACAATTTAACATCACACTCACCCCACCCACTGCTTCTTGCCACCTCTCCCCCTCTCCCCCTGCCCCACAGTGGCCCTCTCTGGACGGCTCTGCTTCATTAGAGATCTGATAAACAGCCCAGAGCTCGGTCCCTTCACTGTGAACCTACACCTTCCTGTTCACATGGCCAAAGGATGACCCCCATCACACACTCAGCACTCAGAGACCTCCACCTCAGAGTCTGACCCCCTCCACCTGAATCATGCCTCTGAAATCACCATGGAGCAAGAGTTCAATTAGTCTGTTATGTTCCTGAGTCAAAAAATAAAACATATAGGCACAATGGGGTAGTAATAATATACTGTCCAGACTGTCTAGATGAGAGGTAAATGCACCAGAGAAAGACAAGAAAAACTGTAATGATACAACTTGGTATTTTAACTTTTTCTTAAATAGCTGGTTTGCAATACCAGTTCCTGAACTATATTTTTTGTATCCTAGAACCATAAAAAATTCAATATTATTAAAAAATTCCAGACATTGTCTTTGGAGGAATAAAGTATTTTTTGTGCATTTGTACCAGGACAGTAACTTCTTAGCTGGATCCACCCACCAGGCATCAAAACTTAATTTCTTACATCCAAAAATGTATTAAATAAAGTCTAAAATTTGTATCAGCAGTACTTTTGTAAGAGTAAGTTTTTTTTTGTGTTTGCTACTGTTTAATAGTTTCAGCCCTAAGTCATTTGAATGTAAGACTGCCAATACTGCATATTATTTGAAAATATATACATGAAAAAAAAAAGTTTTTCTATTCTTGTTTTTAGGAGAATTGTGGGAGTTTCACCGTGAGAGATTTTAAAACACTTTACAATGATGACTACTCCGCTTTGCGTATTATATATAATAGTTTCCATATGTTCTTGACAGATACCAAATAAGATAAAGCACAAGGCTACGGGGAAAACCCTCATGCAAATCAAACAGGACCTGCTGACTCCTGTACCGCTTTAGAGGTCACACATGCTATTATATTGTATGAAAAACAGTATCCCAGTCTCAATTCTACATATAATGAATTACTATAGCTATGTGCAGAATGGCTTACTGTAAACACTTAATGCATCCCCTAGTGGTGTGTCTGAAAAACCCATAGGCCACAATTACTGGTCTGCTAATGCCATTAACCTCTGGGCACACATATGCACGCTCCCACATGTTGGTAAATGCATTGAGCATAACCCACTTTCCACTTGCAAATTACAAACACCAAGATTTATGCAGGGTTCAAGTTCAGTTTTAGTGAACAAGTATAGAAGATGGTAGTCCTTACAATATCAAAAGACACCAGAGATGATACAGCAATATTTGTGGGTGAGGTATTCTTACAAGCAGTTGTGAATTTAACAAATGGCGAGCTCAACTAGGCTTTTCCGGATCACTTTACTTCTATGGCATTCTGAAAATGCATCGTGGCTCGTATTAAAGTCAATCTGAAAGGTTACACCAGGCTCAGACTCAGGTCCAGCTGTAACTCCAGTGTTGGACCAGTGCTGCTGTGTTGTGACATGAGGACCAGAGACTCTGCTGCTGTTGTGTCACCACCTTTGAAGGCTCCATCAGACAGAAAGCGACATCAGGTAATCACACTATAACTATTCATTTACTAAGGGAAAGGGCTACAGTGGGTTCCAGCGTCTGGCAAAAATAGGTTCTTAACAGAATTAATCAGGAGCGCCACAGCACTGGCACCATCGGACTGCATGGCGTGTGGTCTGAGCTCCTCTCAGTACTTTTACTCGCACCTAACCGACGCTGCTCAGTGAGCAGTCTGACTCATTTCATTACATGTTAACATTTTATTAAAAAATCTTACCTAGTTTTCAATTAATTGCTGAACATGGACAGCAGCAGTGGCATATGTAGTGGTAATTCCATGAATGTTAACAATAGCATTCGCAGCAAACAAGGGCTAAATCTTGCCTAATTTACACAGTAGATTTATTAGACAAACAATATGAAAACATGGATATTTAAATGCATGAAATGCATAAATTGACCATGTATTCATTTTTAGAGATGAGCACTATTTCTGTAACTTTAAAAACACTGTCATATACACTTTGAAATATGTCACATAGATTGAACTTGGTCTTGTGTAGGTCATGGAGAGGAGTTATCTGCTGGTCACAGTAGGAGCCACATTCATCAATCTCTCTGCTTCCCGGATACTCCACTCTACAATCACAAGAGGCCATCTTGTACCAGATTAGGCAAATGGTATTGAAATAATGACTCTAGCTAGCCTGCCTTTGTCCCATGGGGTTATAGAATGAGCTCAGATAACCTCTAGTATAAATGTCTGCGTCATACTCTAATACCAGATTTATTGTGTATATATAGCAGCATGGTGAGCATCTTAAGAATTTAGTCATGAATGGCTAGACTGTTATTCCTCTATTGTAAATTTCCGTGTTGGGATAAGAAGAATTAACTCACTAATACAGTAATACACACCCATAGTTAGTATAAAGGGTGAATTCCAATGTTCAAGATTTTAGTTTCGCATCTGTCATATTGTTATGATCAAATATAATTTCTTTAATTCTATTTAATTAAATGAAAGTTTGATGCCTGTAATGTTTGTCTT